TTATTCATTAAGCTGACTAGTATGTTACAAATTAAACGCTTGTACAATTAAATGAGTAGTTCCCGAGAATTGATATAAATACCTCTTGACAGGCACTTAGGTAAAATGATAGCAAAATTGGTTTACTAAACGTTACATCCTAATATATACCGAGTGGGTATTACTTTAGATTAAAGAACTAAAGAACGTACTCCTTTGAACGCATACGTGATGCGACCTGATTCTTGTTTTATATATTGACCTCAAGTATTGATATCATGAAGAAGTAGAGAATATACCCAAGAAATCAGGATCATAGGAATTCTGGGTGTTTCCCCCTTTTAACATGATGGGAGGGAGACTTGCGGCAGAAAAGACAAGAATGTAAAATGAAACATGCCAATGTTTTTTTTTACAATCCCAATTTCGCTTTAAGATACTGCCATATCCAATTACATTAGAATTAAAAAGGGGGGCACCCTGTGCATAACGATCTGTACCAAGCGTAGAATTGACCTAGAAATGCGATTAACCCTAATGTGGATAGGGGGGATCTTCAGATCTAGGAAAGGTATTTTACCCACGTTTTTTGTCCTAAAAAGGCTGATGCCATATACATATTTCACATGTATTACCCTTTCCTGGCTAACAAAATATAACATGTTGTTTTTTAAAGTAAAAATGCACCAAAAAGTCTCCCCTGCTTTTGACCTAATTTGACCTACTTTTTGCGATTCTAAAACACCATCCTCAAGAGTTTTGAATTACCTATAATATGGTACCTTAGTTTTTACTATACCTCTTTGAAAACGCCAGAAATTTGGGGTAAATGTTTAAATCTCCCTAATAATTTAAGATGGTAAGTTGGTAACCATAAAAATAGAAAAAATAATGCATTATTGCAAAAATCGTTGGTTTTCCTGAAGTTAATTAAGTATGCACTTTTATGAATATTTAGTTTCTCGGACACTCTGTACATGGCGACCAACTTTTTTGACACCATTTCCCACCTAAACTTGACACCATTTCTCCCCTAAACTTGACGCTTGACATATTTCCATTAGCGCAGGATTTGATTATTCAGCGCCTTAAGAGGAAATGCCATTTTTAGATCTTTAAATATTGACACATATCTCTTAACAAACCATCAGAATATTTGTTCCTATCGTTTTAAGTGATAGGAGCTTCAAATAAAAAAGCAGGAGGAAAAGCAGGGGTTGAAAATCAGGACAACATTTAAGGAAATGATGTGGGTGGGTTGTTTGGATCTTCCCTGTCTCAAAGTCCAAATTATTCGTTCGTCACGGGAATTGAAATATTACATAAATTCAGATTTCATTATTTCCATGAAGAGTAAGTTCTGTGTTGTAAAATTTCTGTATTGAATTGTTACATGCTAGGTAAAATATTATTTTAAAATTCAATACTTGGTTGCACAATATTTGATGTAGGCACTTATACGCCACCTTGGGGTATCACATGTATCATGTGCAATTGTATTGTAATGTCCAATGTGTAATGTTATAATATTATATATTAAAATATGAGCTACTATACTTCTATAACTATTTTGAATATTTGTAGATATTGCCGCATTTATAGCAGGTATTTTCAGCGTGGCAGCCATGCTGACCCCAAACTGTTTTTTTAAATCACTTGAAAATGTTGAATAAGTCCGTAAAACAGGTTATCATTTTCCTTAGTGCTGTAATAATAGTCAAAGCCTGCATCGACAAACTCCTGACATGATATTATGCCATCTTTATCCTCATCAATGTAGTCAAACTGGCGCTTCATATAATTGGGGTCAAGGTCATAGGCATCCCAGAAAACATTGAATTCTTTCTGATCTATGACGCCATCTCCATCCAAATCCAGGACTCTGAACCATTTTGCAAAGTACTCATAAACAATGGGTCGGCTGTTCGGATCATTTCTAAAATTGATGTCGCCAATGAGCGATTCTGTTGTGTTGGTCGCGGTGTGGAAATAGGGCGGGGCACTTTCACGATAAAACGTGTAGACCTCTTCAGCCTTGGCTCCTTTAAGATTTCCTGAAAGCACAATTAAAGTAAATTGATAAATAGAATTGTTTTCAATACTTAATTTTGCTAAAGGCATTCCATGCCATATGCCTATAATCTTAAACGTCAAACAACTATATCCTTTTTTCAGGACAATCCTCATAACCTTCCTTCGGTTGTTTAATGTTTAATCCTCAATAACTTTACACCGTCTGATGTCTATCCTTTCTATGTAACTCAATGTTGTCGCATGAATAGGCCAATCACTGTCTACTCCACTAGATTACACTTTCGGTAACAGAATGTCGGAACTCAAAGGTTGGATTTTTCCTTTTCCTTATTCCACGCGTTGTAGCATGGGCTTATGGTTGTAGGTAGAATGTCCACGCCTTATTCATGTTTACGTAACAAAAGCATGACCGTCAGATGGAGGGGTGCTATTGGTGCGGCCGCATCCCCTCAGGCATCTGAAATAGCACCTTTAAAAAGTAAAATATATTAGAGAGATTGTGCCTTCTCTTGCTTTCATCCTGGCATCGCCCTTAAAAAAATTAAGTCAATTGATTCATAGCCTACACTTTGAAAGTAAGTGCCAGGAAATCACCAAGTAGCTTCTCAAAATTGTAAAATTTTCTAGATGGATTAGACTACCTCTCACGTACCTCGAAAACAATTGAAAAACTTCTAAATTAATTTTGCTCCCCCTCTGCTCCCCCTCCTCCAAAAACACAAATGAAAAAAATGTTTTGTTTATTCTCACTCTTGGAAATTTTGAAAATGAAATTTAGAAAAGACACATTTTTCAATTTTCTTTGTTAACTGACTCATACACTGTAAAAGTTCTCAGAAATCACCACATAGCTTCTTAAAATTGTAAAATTTTATAGAGGGAGAAAACCACACCTCGCCTCGTAAATTCTGAATTCGTTTTATTAATGATATTGCCTCAGACACTATAAAAGTACCCGGATATGATCAAATAGCATCTTGAAAATAGTAAAATGTTTTGGAGGGAGGAGAGTGTCCCTTGCCCCCCCCCCCCTCTGGCACACCCTCCCCAAAAATGTTATATTTTTTCTCAGTTTTATTTATTGTCTTAGCCTACACTTTAAAACTGTCCAGAAACGCACACAAAAAAGAGAAATATTTTTAGAATGATTTTAGGAATTGTATTTACTAATCTAATTTGGACTCACTTTTTGAGACCAGTCCCTATCACTGGATTTGGAGCCCAGAATTCCCCAAATGCCATACTGAAATCATAAAAATGTCTGACATCCCATCCATTCCCTTCTCTCACACCCTCCCCCTATTCTAATGTTTCTCCTAATTGCTCTCACAAAATGTAAAACCAATTATACTAAAATACTACAAAATAGGCTGAGTGTGTACACTTTAGGGGTAACAGAACACCCCCTGGACTCATGTCTACCGTTGACCTATGCGGCGAGAAACTGACCAGTTTATTTATTTTCTAAAAACGGCACCCTTTGAAGAAAAGTGCCTTAAGGGGCCTGTGAACAGTGAGGAATTAAATCGATGATTCTGTTGCGTAATCAAGTGGAGTACCAGTGCTGTCGAAGTTCATGATGTTAATTGTCCCTAATATTAATGTTAATCAAACTAATCTTTTTATCAATTTATTTTATAAAAGGGATATTTACATGTATAAATCTAAAAACATGTGTAATGGAACGAAAAAATCTTATATTCACCTATTTTGATAATCTTCTCAGCTACAGTCTTACAGTCCTCTAAATCCCACACCCCATTCTTGTTGAAATCAGCCACCATTAACTTGGTTATATTCTTCCTAAGCCAGAATATGTCGGCCTTCTTGAATTTCTTCATATCTACTGCATAAAGTGACGACATGTTTAGGCTATGAATGATTTCCTTCCCAAGTTTAACTCCCTTTCAAACAAAAATACCGAACTACTTACTCCCATGCGCTGTCATTTCTTAGTTTTGACTGATAACATGATCTAGACCTAGGGCTGCGTAGCCTAATAAACAACCTTTAAAACTTAATAGTGTCAAACCCTAACACTAAAATATTCTTCAAACAAGTAGCAGCGCAGATAAATTCAACGTGTATTCACATTCTGATTATTTAGGTTTTGATAGGCTAAATGCCTACAGTATGTGACAGGATTTTTGTACTCCATGTTCAATGGGAAATAAAGAGATATAGGCTTAATAAACTTTCGACGCACCTGTTTCGGAAATACTCGCAGCACTTAGTGGTGACATTAACGAATGACGATATTTTCCAGATTTGCAGATAAAAATACACGTATAGCCGACTGTATTTTGCTAATGTTCTACTCCAAATGTTTGTTTGCAATACATGTAGAGTTTCATGTAATAAATTCCATGTATAAGTTTTGATATTATTTTTATGGTAAAAATAGGCCTAGCTAAGTGTGTACCCATATTCAGATAGACAGCCCTGAGATGGAGGTTTTCTGAAAATATTGAGCCCCTAAAACCAAAAGTTCGGCCCAAACTTTTTTTTTAATTTGGCCTTTTTTGAGGCCCTACAAAAAGCCCCCTCTCCCTGGATCCGCCAGTGTTGTGCTATCCACTACTGTGTTTGTTGGTGGTGCACTGGCGGATCCAGAAGTTAGCGAGAGGGGAATGGCACATTTCAAGTTGAGAACAAAACTGAATTTTGGCAAAAAGAAAATTCAACAAACTGACTGGAAATAAAAGTATGAAGAGATAGAGCCCGGGAATTCTACAGGTATTTTCGTGCATCGTAAAAGTATGAAACTTTTAAATTTACCGCCAAAATTATTAAATTAATGCGCCTAATGTCAAATTGATAAAAGACAAACGTAATTTAAGCTTTATATCTACAGTATACTAAAAACATTTTACAAACATTTAAATCATACGAGCAGTTTTAAAGAATTTCAACCTAAGTAATAAATGTAAATGAGAATCTTATCTCCGAGTGTCCGCGGAAGACTTTTGTTCGTCTGCAACTAAAGGTGAAATTTGGCTCGCAGTTCGAAAAATATTTTGGCTGATGCGACTTATTATTTGATGCTGTTTGGTGAGTCTGTAAGCGTACATTCCATCGAGTTTGAATAATGAATATATGAGTGTAAGCTTAACCAAATAACTTGTAGATCTAAGGAGTTCATCCAAAGGAAGTGCAGGTCGACTGAAATTTTTGTTTTCTCATTTGATTTTTTGACATTTTCTTTTCGACTTCGTTTTTTCTGGTTCACGCGTTGCTTTTCAGCAGAGGTTCTCAACTTTTTTTTACAATTTACATTTACATTACATTACATTTACTAGTCTAGTCTCTTTACCAGCATTTCACCTTACCTAGGGAGCACCTGTAACACTGGCAGATCCAGAAGCTAACTAGGGGGAGGGGGGGGGGGGCAAATTTGAAATCTGAGAAAAAGTTTTTGAAAATTGAGGCCCATTTTTTCAATTTGGCTTAGAATGCCCAATATGTCCAAATATGACCCAAAAGGCCCACTAGCCTAATTTAGTCCCTAGTCTTCAAAATTTCTGGGCCACAGAGACATAAAATACAGTGGCGTAGCCAGCAAATGGTGACCAGGGGTTCGATTTTCTATGTATCCACAAATCTTCCCCTTCTTCGGTGTACCTCACAAAAAAGCAGTTTTTGTATTTGTCATACATACAATGTACACCGTACCCCTCCAAAAGTTTGGCAACAATTTGATTTTCTATGTTGAAATAGTTTTTGGTGAATCTTTTACTGAAAAGATATTGAAATCTGGTAGCAAAATCATACATTTAAATTTTACTGCACTTGTTTAATTGTTCAATGGAATCCAAATCAAGGGTTAGCATACATTGAGCCAACTTTTGTTAAGGGAAAATTATAACATATCTCTAAGGAACATGTTTTTGACGAGCTACCGTAGATAAATCGTCATTCCCAATTCATGCTTTAGAGTTCATTCAAAGATATTCAGACACATGCTATTTTCCCACACTTTTAAATGATTTTTGAAAAGAATCCAAATCAAAAGAATTTTATTTTATTTCATTTTGTAAGACCTCATGAACTTACAGTTATTTACTGAAAACTAGTATATTCATAGCAAATATTTTTTAAGAATGTAGTACTTATTTAATCATGGCGCACAATAAAAGTCGTAATGGCTGCACGGATACTCTCAATTGGTACTGACGATAAAAGTCACAGATGACAAATATTATTGTATTACATATGAAATGAAACATTCTATCACCGTCCCGCTGTTTTTATCATTAATGACGAGAATCATGAATGTTTTGAGAAATGAAAACATTTTAGATGAACTTGTGAATCATTATAGACTTTGATTTGTTTTTGAGAAATTAACGTTTTATTATTTTATTCAAGAATGCTGCCAAATCTTTTTAGACACACGATTTGAAACTTGTGGTAGGCCAATCCTCTGTCTTTCTGGCAAGTACACTCCCCTCCAAAAGCTTGGCAACCTAAGCTCCCTGCCTCCTCTTTATATTTGAATTTTTATTTACATAACCTGCGGGGAAAATACTTATAATATTGATTAAAATGTAATTTGATTTCACTTCCAATGCCTCCAAATTTTCCCATTTTTTTACCTCTTTTGATGAATTTTTTAATCCGCTGATTATCAGTGGATCAGTTTTTTAGAAAATAAAAAGTGATTATCAGGAAGCAATGCATATTGGTACACCATGTGATTTTTTAATATTTTTTATTATGAACTTTTTCCCTTAACTGTGAGAATGTAATACTCATTTGAAATAATAAATCTAGACTTATTTGATATAATCCTCCTTACGCCTTTGCTTTCCTCAGCAAAAGATGACTGCATCTGGCCTTTTTATTGGACAGAACTTTCCACTGCACGTAATGTGTGTACCTTTTACACTTGTATCTAGTAACACAGACATACTCACCTAATTGCCTCCCTTAATCCATTTACTGTAGATTGGGTTAATTTGGCGCCCGCTTTAATTTGGCGAATTTGGCGAAATTGAAAAATTCGCCAATATAAATCTTCGCCAAAATTTAGAATGAATCCCCGGGAATTATCTAGGGTATTTCGTCCAGTGTATTTAGGTCACTTCCGGTTTAGTTTTTTTCCAAAAATATGAAAAAATGTCTCATAAATTGGCTCAGAACTGGTCAGTCACTCATTAATACTCAGGGAAAAACTAGAAAGGAAAAGCGCAGTATAGTAGCAGCATCGATCGAGGTGCAAAATGTAAAGGATGATCTCACAAAATTGTACAAACATGGTGAATATCGCCAGTGGTCCTCAAAAGAAAAAAAATGAACATAGCCAAACATGCCCAATTTTTTGCATATTCGCCAAATCAAATAGCCGCCAATATGCCAAAAATGGCAAAATTGCCAAATTAAGTAGAGCCAAATTAACCCAATCTACAGTATTTGCTAAACATATTACAGTAAAACTTGTGTATAGTGAACATTTTTTTGCCAAGAAAAAACGTTCACTGTAGGTAGGTGTTCACTAGAGAGAGGGTAATTTATACAGATGTCAGTGGACTATGTGCGTAGGAAGGGTGTCCACTAGGGACAGGTGTTCACTAGAGAGAGGTGTTCACTAAGACAGGTTTTACTGTATAATTAATGTCATAAACGCGATCCACTAAAGTTTGATATTCTTGAAAATAGAGTAAATACTTAATACACTGAAACAGCAACATTTTAATCTTAAAATGATCACCGAGATGAACGTGCATCTGAAAAAGCAAAACTGATTTTTTCGCAATCGATTTATTTTTCCTTAAAAAGTGATGGATAATAAATACCCATTCGATCAAATACTTGTGTTTATAAATGATACATATGCTTTTAATAATAACTAATTTCAAAATGTTTCTATTATTTAATATTTGCTTTTGAGGACTTGTCAGACCCGGGGACTTAGCAAGATTTTTTTTGTTTGAAATAAAACAAAACGGAGGGGCACAGATTTGAAAGAAAATGTGTTTTCATCAGTATTAAGACAATTTGTTTATTTCACTGTAGATGGAGCAGCTTTTTATTGATATTTTTTCTTTGCATAATGTCATAATGCTCCGGGGTCTTCCCAAAATTAAACAATCCCACCCCGTGCCTGAGGTTGCCAATCTTTTGGAGAGAAGTGTAAATTTACTATTTTTATCTACTAGTCATATAAATTGAATATATGTTATTGGTTATTGCAATGAATTTTCCACAAATATTTTTGAGGGGGAATCCCGACCGGGGGTTCGTCCGAACCCATCGAACCCCCGGTCCCTACGGCTATGCAATACAAGGGAGGCATCCTATGCTCCCCCCCCCCCTCTGGATCCGTCAGTGCTTCCCAACACAACCTCAGACTCTTAGACCCCTCTCCTTTAACATGACTAGCCTATCAGTATGAAAACAACAGAATGGAAATCATGAATTTAACATGGAAAAGTTGAGTCCCTAAAACAACAGGCGGTTTTGTGAAAACAACTGGTGAAAATGACCTGTAGCCTGCTGCTAATGAAACCCCTGCTATTGTCGTCATGGTATGGAATATTCAGACACAACTAATCTCAGACTTATTTTCCCAATATACATGTATAGGAGCCTGGAGGCCTAGGAAGCTTAACTTGAAATTTGAATTCAGCAGTAACTAGCCTACCATAACTTAAAGATGCATTATGCCATAGGTGTCTCCCCCAGACAATCAATGATGTCCTATTATTATTGCTCATATAATATCTCACATACCATGGATATATCTTGAGAATAACTTTTGGGTATATTATTGCCGAAATATCGAAAACAATCAACAGAACAACCAAACTCCAGAATTAAACACAATTGATTCCTCGACTAGCGAGGGGAATCCCCATTGAGTCACACAAGTGCCTTGAAACAGGCAGCCAATCAAATTTATGATAAACAAATTCAACGACCAATCAGATAACAGAAGGACTTTCCCGGTATATTCAAACTTCAGATTGAATTAATTTCTTCGAAAATAATTAGATCGGCCAGCACAATTGCAAAATTAACACTGAAAGAGGGGGATTTGGGACTTCTTCTGGTAAGTAGACGCAGGGCTCTCACCAGGAAATATTTAGGGTGTGGTGCTAACATCTTCAGAATAATCGTTCAATCGTGATAAATCATATTTATGTTATATTTTATCCTTTTTACATGCTATTATTGTACATTCAGTCAAGTTTAGACTGTGGAAACAGTCATGATTTGCCAATAGGGTGTGGAGGGAGCTAAATAGAGGGTGGTGCTGCGCCACAGTCCAAAAGCCTGGCGAGAGCCCCGAGACGGGTATATATGTCACTGCCCCCAGGATTCCGTGTTTGCAGAGCGCGGACGGAATTTGCCTCTGCCCGCGGAATTGCAGAATCAACTATTTTGGTCAATTTCCGCGGAATTTTCCGCAGAATCCATATATTTTCCAAAAGTTTAAAAAGTCAGTCTTACCTGTAACAATTTGACACGTTTTCAGTCTAATCCCTTGCAGAAATAACCCAAATTATGCGAAGTGAAAATTCTAAACGCCATTGTTTGATTTCTGCCGTTAGATGGCAGCATGTATGTAGTGACTGACTACCTGACTATCACGATATTTTCCCGTTTACTGGTTCGAAAACCATTAGTTTTTCTTTCGGTTCTCGTCAGAAAGTTAAACAAAGACATAAATTAATAACAGTTATTTATATTATATAAAAAAATGCCGCGAATATCAGCGGAATTTCTGCAGAATTAGCCCTTTCTTCTTGCAGAAATCAATAATTTCACTTGCAGAATTGAGCATTTTAACTTGCAGAAAACTGGGGGGAGTGTATATGTGGTGAAACTCAACATGCAAAAAAGTCCAGAGGGGTCTTGATTCCCTATGGCATAGTGCCTCTTTAAGCCAAGGGAAATGCAGGCTAGTATTAGCTCAATTTAGAAAGTTGACTTTCCAGATTGAGCTTAATACTAAGTGGGGGAGTTGCCCCATTATTGGTTCGATTTCCATTGGTCCAAATCCCAATCATCTAAATCCTGTTCAACCAAATCCCGTTTGTCTGAATCCTATTTGTCCGAAGGCCAATTGTTCGAAACCTAATTGTCCAAATCCCATTGGTCATAATCTGGACAAGTAATGTAATTGTAATATATCAATATAAAGGTGCAAGAAATATGTGAATGTGGAATGATCATTGAATAAAATCGACAACACGTTTAGTCATGTTTATTGGAAATATTACGTTTGTACACATATTCTTTGCTGTCAAGTCAACCGAAGGATTCTTTGAATGAAATGCCCATTGAAGCAAAAATGTTAGACAAAACCCACCATTTTGAATACTACGGAGATGCTTTTCGATATCTCGATAAAAGCCCGGGGATAAAAAGTTGTAATTCATTTTAATGTTTCTCACCACAATTGCTGTTATTCACAGTTACAGTTTCAAACTTTTTGTGAACTGTGTTTTGCACTCAGATTCTGCCATTGGTGCAGCTGTAACAAATGGCAGGTGGTGACATTTCGCATGTTAATGCATTGTTGTGTTTTCCGTAACATTACATGGCACCGCAGTGCACATAGGAACATTTAACATGCTTCTTGATATTAAATGCAAGCTGTGAGAAGATATTTGTTACAATTAAGTGCTGAAAAAACACTTCTTTATACTTTCAGAGCAACAATATCTTAAAGAAAGAATAAAGACATCATTTATAATTTCATAAATCACCATGCCACGAGTGCCCCAACCAAAGAGGACAGCAGCTCATCAGAAACTAGCTGAAGAGAATGAGAAGTCAGGGCCTTCAGTATATGACATGGAGGATGAACCCTTGATAACCTCCCCAGTCTCACCAAGCAGAAGTTAGTGCATAACAAATAAGAAATATTAACACCTCCAATTCCAAACAAAAGTGGCTGGTCCAAGATTGCATTCAAATAAGACATATTAACACCTGCAATACCAAACAAAAATGGCTGGTCCAAGATTGCATTCAAATAAGACATATTAACACCTGCAATTCCAAACAAAAGTGGCTGGTCCAAGATTGCATTCAAATAAGACATTAACACCTGCAATTCCAAACAATGGCTGGTCCAAGATTGCATTCAAAGAAGACATATTAACACCTGCAATTCTAAACAATGGCTGGTCCAAGATTGCATTCAAATATGACATATTAACACCTGCAATTCCAAACAAAAGTGGCTGGTCCAAGATTGCATTTAAATAAGACATATTAACACCTGCAATTCCAAATAATAGTGGCTGGTCCAAGATTGCATTCAAATTAGACATGTTTTACTGTGTTATGAAATCTAGCCAATATTGTTTTCAATTTCAAGTTTTTTTGTTAAGGATTACCTAATAGTGTGTTTTTTTAATTTTTTCAAGGCAACGAGACACCAATCATTCCAAAGAATAAGAAAAGAGTATATGGACAGGATGAGGAAGGGAAACAGGATTTTGGGTAGTTATCCTCTCTTATCAATAGTTACATTATTTTTACAGTATCTTAGGGCTGGGATAGTTCATCAATTTTAATATAGATTTTTGATTCGATTTGAATATGGTAGCATAGCATATGACAAGTATTTTAATAATTAATGTTGTTAACATTGCCTCTGTTCTTTTTTATCTCTCTTTTGTAATGAAAAAATCAAAAATTATTTTGCAAATTATTTAGAATCCCATCTGTCAGCAGTTTTTTCTAAGCCCAAGTCCCCTTGTGACCTCGAACTGGGAAGTATAGGGACCCAAGAGGGCCAACATTGATGGTATGCATTATGCATCTCTTCAAATTAAAGATTATTATTCTATTTTCAGCTCTGAAGTTCAAGATCTTCTTAAATGTTTTGGAGGTAAAAATCTGAATTTATACTATATTTTTATCTCTTGCTTTAGCCATGTTACTTATATAGAACAAATGTTTGTGGAGTCCAAAGTTATATTTAGTTTTTTAGAAACGTTGTTGTAATTGGCATATAAACTAGGGGTCAGATGGTTGACTGAAACTGTGGAGGTCATGGCCATTGTTCCAGAATAAAATTTGAAATAAAGATTTTGACTGCGCTGTAATTTTAGGTTACTTGATTTTGAAGTAAATATCTTTGATATGTAAACATCAACAAATTTTATTCTTCAGCGGACATAAGCAAGACTGTAATGGCAAAGCGCAAAAGACTTGAGACATTTACAAATGCTTCACTGAAGGCAAGCAATAAGAAAGTGGATGAAATATGGAAAGAGCAGCATACAGAGAGGTACATGAAAAAGGAGGCAAAATGGTCATTTCTGTAAGGTTTTATGCTACTGACCAACATTCACTTATTAGGTAGCATGTCACATGTGTATCTTGCACATGTGACTTAATTAAGTTAAGGTTTACCTCTGTCCAATTTATCTTCTGTCCACGTCAATCAGTGAAATACTAAAAATATATTACTAATAGAAACTAATTATGTCAACATATATACTGGTTACGAAACATTTGGTCTGATGGTTACAAAACAAATCCTTTGACAGTTACAAAATAAAGACTTTATTGGCAGTTACAAAACAAAACCTTTGATAGTTACCAAACATTTAGCTATTGATGGTTACAAAACAAAACCTTAACTCTAAGATGACATCATGGTTCAGATTGCACAGAAAATATAATGCAATTGAAGTAGCAAAAGGAAAGAAGTTAAAGGGTCCATGTGAGGTATTGCAAGCAATTTTATACTGTCATATCTTTCACTTGCAATACTGCACATAGCCCTTTTAGAAAAAAGTCAGAAAGTGAGATAATTATATTTCACTGAGATGACAAGATGATTTTTAGACTTATAATTACACATGTGGCAAAAACACAAGAATAAAGTGTCAATATTTACCAATTTTATACAAGATTTAATTCATTTTGAAACCCGATAAGTGGTATAATTCAAAGTACGAGGGTTGTCCCAGAAGTAATGCACTATATGCTCTAACTTTATCAATAATTGATCTTTTTCCATGAAATTTTCAGTAAATGTTCCTTAGAGACATTTTGATTGCTCTAAAAATTTTCATGTTGACTGATAAAACTATATTGATGTTATAATAAAATCAAGTTGGTGAGTTTGGGTAGGGCGGGGCAGGTTATACAATCACGTCAAAAGGAATAAAAAATTGATAATATGAAATAATTAATCAACAAATACCATTTTGTGTAGCTATAAGAGGTATGCTCAAAAATACATTTTAAGATACTAAATTACTATGAGCACATCCTAGAATTAATGGATGTATATTGCACAGTGCCACATTTCACATTTTCTTAAAATATTGCCCTTTGCATGTTATGTACTTTTGATGCCTGTCAGGTCAAACATTCTTGGCAATTTCTTCCACTGTGACTTGTGGAGTTTTTGCCTCCCATGTTTGGAGTTGTCATCCAGGGTCAAATCGTCTCTTTTAAATCTCTTCTGCCACCCCATAATTGTAGTTCTATCTGGTATATACTCCTTATATACTTTCTTCATGGTAGCATTGTTTTGCGTGGCTGTGAGTCCAAGTGAAGTATGAAATTAGGCCACCAAACGCAAGGCCTTCTGTTATCAGGTGAGAATTGCAGCCATTTTTGCAATTTCTTGACTGTGACTGTATTTGAATTCTTGATTATTGAAATGTGGTATTATGACATCACAGTGCTAAATGTCATTATTTGTACTTGGTTAACATCATGCTGAATAAATTTAACAATTTCGCAAACATTTTGACCATTTAAAGGAAAGAAATATTAATAAAATAACACTTTGGAACTTTTCATAATTAGAAAAATTGGTACCTGCCCCGCCCACCCCTACCCCCATGTTGTTATAGCAACCATATTAAGACTTGATATTAATGCTTGATGCTGAAACTTCAGGATATAATAGATAAAACTTCAACTGTTATATACACAAAATTTCAGCTGAATTGAAGAATATTAAAGAAAGTTAGAGTATATAGTGCATTACTTCTGGGACAACCCTCGTATTACAGCATTTACTGAACAATTCTCTAATCTGAACACCCCTCAATGTGAATGGTTTTCTTCAGTCTAATTTCCATAATCGCCATTGACTTTTGTGTTAATCCCCCTTTAAATTTGAACACCTATCAATTTGAACAGTTTTGGCTGGTTCCAGATGTTCAGACCAGACTCAGTTTTATACAAGTCTTTCCTTTTCAGGAATAAGTTGAACAATGAGTAAAGATCCCATTCAGAATTCGGATCAGACAGGTTTTTCTGTATAATTTTACGTTTTGCAGGAATAAGTTGAACGATGAGTACAAACGCCAGTTGAGCTCTGTGTTGGCCCAGTGGGATTCAGACCTGGATAAATCAAAGGAACAAGAAGAGAAATTACAGGTGAAATAAATAGATTCATCATTATTATCTTAAGTAGAATCTAGCTCCTTTAGAAGACGTTTATTAGTCTATGACATTGGAAATCATTATCCTTTTACTTGCAATTGATTGATATTTAATTACTTAAAGATTGAAGTGTAATTAGAAAAGTAATATTTAGTTTTTGTTTTAGTGGCATTGATCTTCATTCATCAATAAAAAATCTCATGAGACCAGTTAATTGCAGAATCATTCGTATTTGCAAATATTGATTACTGTAAAACGGGTAATTTTAGCGATTTTTCAATTTTAGGGGGTTTTAGCGCGGGAAATTTTAGCGAAATGAAGATTAATCTTTAAAAAATCAAATAAGCGAGATGCATTAGAAATTTTATCATTTATGGCAGAAGAATGAATAACGGACATGACAGATCAAAATGTAAGACTTCTAACGCACATGGTATTGGTCCAAACTACTGTAATCTCATCTGACTAATCACAAAATCACGGTAGCATTAAAATCGTTGATATTTCGGTCCAAGCACTGAATGAAAAGCTCCTTAAATACTAGTATTCATGTAGTTTCCCGGGAATTTGCAAATTTTAGCGCCCGGTTTATTTTAGCGAATTGAATTTTTAGCGAAAATATAGCTATCGCTAACAATCGCTAACAATTACTCCTCGCTAACAATACCCGTTTTACAGTAAATGGGTTTTACAGAAATTTCAAGTGTGCACAATTTGGTCTCCTATCAAGGTCAATGTTAATACTTCACTCCTGATTTTATGATAATGACATACTTATGGAAAATTGTAAAAATAAAAATGATAATTCTCCACTTAAAATATAGTCAGTAACTCTCTATTATACATTATTTAATGAATATTTGATATCATTTATTTAATAAAGGTCATCATTAATGCTTTTTATGATCATGACCTACTTCTTTTGAAATGGTGTGTCAATAAAGATGGCAGATTTTCAAGTGAAAGTAGTCAAATAAAGTCAGTAGTCCTTTTAAAACCAAATCAATTATATCACAGATTGTTTTCGTATGGCTTCATAAATATGATTTAACTCGGCACTGTTTTATTTCCATGAAACCAGGTCCAAGCTTAAATCTTAATTATAACAAAAACAGTGATTTCATTTGCACTTTATTTTAAACTGTTGTTATGGTGACATCATCAGTGATTAAATACAATTCCCGAGTCTGACATTACAAGGATATCATACATTTAGTAAACATTCAGTATTTGATAGCACAGTGACAGCTAAATATTATTTACTGAGAAAAAAATAGTTAAAAAATATCCGGGAAAAGAATATTTTGTTTGTTAACGTATAACAAAATATGATGAATTGATGTTAATTTAACTTCCCTGCGCCTGATATCTCAATCAGCAAATTCTGTTATGCCACCACCAAAAAATGATGACATATTTTTGTTCTCAGTTTTTTGTGACGATGGTTGGTGAAGTTCAAATTTAACTTTAGATACGAGAGTTGACCTTCGATGACCTTCTGAAGGTAAAAAAAGTCAGAAAGGTATCTTTCAACTTGGTTCAAATTGATCAATTTTTTTCAAAATCATCTACAAGTTCTCAGAAATACAAATCTGACTGATTTAAGATTTGACCTTCTCAAGGTAAAAAAGATCAAAAGGGTATTTTTCAACTTGCTTCAAATTAATTTTTTTTTTTTTTAAATCATCTTCAAGTTCTCAGAAGTTCAAATTCAACTTTAAATTTGAGATTTGATCTTCATTGACCTTCTATAGGTAAAAAAAATGTCAAAAAGGTATTTTCAACTTGGTTTAAATTGACCAATGTACTCAAAATCATTTACAAGTTCTCAGAAGTTCATCTGACTAAAATTGAACTCAATATTGTGAGCAACTAGGTGTTGACATTTTGTCATGTTAATGCCTTGTTCTATTACTATTGCAATTGCATCCTTGGTATAGTTTATTATATATTCATGAAATTAACAATATGAATTATGAAGGTTTAACCAGCTAATCAACGGATCTACCTAATTGCTAGCAATGTAATTAGTGAAAAAGTGCCCATAGTTTAATTCCACCTTGTAAGTAGACAATCGTTATGTAATATGAAATCTGTCTGCGGAAATGAAAAGACTGTGAGGAGTTAGTTATTATTAATTAAACCAGCTATTATGTAGCATAGGAATGTCAATGTCCATCAGTGGTTCACCAGCATGAATGCTTTCTTAGTATAGTCTAGTAGCCAAGCATGGGGCTTTTAAACCCATGGTCTTTTGCAAATATTTTTTGTGCACTCATGCACTGTTCTATAACAACTCAGCATGATGTGATAAAATTTATTTTCCTCACAAGAGTTATTTAGTAGTGTACAATGTGATGCTTTTAATGGGAATATGCTCTCGAGGGAACTTGTCTGTCTCCAACCCTTACTAGTTGTAGTTGAGGCTCGGTCAAAGTGGTTACAAAGTGATTATAAGTCTGTTAAAATATATAATGTAATTTGCTGAATGAAGTAGGCAATTTATCAAAGTAGGACATCAGTAATAGAGCCAGTCAGCCATATTATAAATCTAGCATCCACTTATCAATGATGATACAATCAAACCATGCATGCTACATTAAAACTAAACTGTGATCTTCCCAGCATCTTCTTTCATGATGTAGTGCCCGCTTCAACTGAAAACTCCATGTTTGTGCCACACATAGACAGTCTGCTTTTTTATGGATGATGTTTGGCAGTCACTCTGTAACAAATGGCAGGTGGTGATATTTTGCATGTTAATGCCAATTAAATCATTAAGAAGTTAGCTATTTCTGTCCCATGATGAACGCAGCCAAGGTAATAATGCTCAAATGAAAATTAATTCAGGCTATTAACTATGTTTGCAGAATCTGTTTCGTCAACAACAGAAGATGTTCCAACAAGCCAGAGTTGTACAAAACCAACGTTTGAAGACGATCCGGCAGCTACATGAACAATATATGAAGGTGAGATACCACTGGGGGATCCAGAAGCTAACAAGGAGGGGGGGGGCAAATTCGGAGTCAGAAGGAAAAGATTTTGGGCCCCTAAAACCAAACCAAATTTTGAAAATTGAAGGCCTATTTTTCGATAATTAAGCCTAAAAAGCCAAATTATGTCCAAAAAGTACTGCTAAAATATTATCAGGGGAAAACAATGTCTTCAATTGGAGGGGCTCTGTTTGGGATTTCTTTAAACACTGTCCACATCTTCTAGTTTGATTCTTGTAAGATCCTTGCTAAAAATATTTGTTTTATTATCATTTATATTATAGTAAAAATATGCTCTTACTCCATTTTGATGTTACAAAAAGACGGTATTGGCAAGAAAAAATGAAGAAAAGATTTTTGACTTCTGATATATTGTTAATGCGCATTTATTAGAATGGTCTGAAGGATGTATTTTCAATTTTCTAAATGCCCCAGGCGCTAATTACACAGAATACTGTCTGTGGTTTAAAACAAAACAGAGATGATTTTCTTGATATATAACAGAGATTATGGGTCACCTTGACAACATCATTACTTTAGTCCCAATTATCCTCTCTCTTAAATTGCTAATATCCAAAGTGCTTGTAATGTCTACTGAAGGTCAAGAAATCCACAGAAAAAAACCACCAGAAGTTTTAAAACAACATTCCATGAAAATGTCTATTTTGGGATAAAGGGAAGTGTCCATGTCCATGCTAATATCAAAAGTGCTTGTAATGTCTACTGTAGGTCAAGAAATCCACAGAAAAGAACCACCAGAAGTTTTAAAACAACATTCCATGAAAATATCCATTTTGGGATAAAGGGAAGTGTCCATGTCCATGCTAATATCCAAAGTGCTTGTAATGTTTACTGAAGGTCAAGAAATCCACAGAATAAAGAACCACCAGAAGTTTTAAAACAACATTCCATGAAAATGTCCATTTTGGGATAAAGGGAAGTGTCCATGTCCATGCTAATATCCAAAGTGCTTGTAATGTTTACTGAAGGTCAAGAAATCCACAGAATAAAGAACCACCAGAAGTTTTAAAACAACATTCCATGAAAATGTCCATTTTGGGATAAAGGGAAGTGTCCATGTCCATGCTAATATCCAAAGTGCTTGTAATGTTTACTGAAGGTCAAGAAATCCACAGAATAAAGAACCACCAGAAGTTTTAAAACAACATTCCATGAAAATGTCCATTTTGGGATAAAGGGAAGTGTCCATGCTAATATCCAAAGTGCTTGTAATGTCTACTGAAGGTCAAGAAAGCAACAGAATAAAGAACCACCAGAAGTTTCAAAACAACATTCCATGAAAATGTCCATTTTGGGATAAAGGGAAGTGTCCATGTGCCAATAACTTTTTTCAACAAGTTTCAGCTCTTTCAGAAAATCTCTCGTATTTTTTAAGTCACAGTTAATGTATAATAGTAACAACGTATAAAATGCTTCATAAAACTCTCAAGGTCTTAGTTTTAATAATAAGATTCTTATACATTCGAAAATGTTCATAACATAGATTTGCATTTGCAAACACTCATGTTAATGTTCCAATTAAAATTGTGTTCAAGGCTTAAACCTGAAATCTATATAATTTTTATTGTTATTCAACTGGCGATGGACTTTGAAGAACTTGATAGGTATGTGCCAATGAACTGTACCAAGTTTCACAAAGATTGGTTTAGTAGTATTGAAATGGCAACATCTTTGACATTATTTCTGGATCATTCTGTATTTGTTTATACTTGGTCATTCTTCCATATTACTTGAACTTTATGAAGTGCTTATATTAGAGAGTGAGCACTAATTACAGAGAATACGAGAGTTGATTAAGCCTTACTGGTAAATGTCTCCAGATTATATACAGGGTTCTCAATAAAGGTGCCACTGTAATTTTCTTGACTAAAACCCATCACAAGATAACTAGATTGAGGAGTCTTATAGATCTGTTTCATTGGTTTGTGTTTTACCCTTTCCTCTTTAAAAAGTGTGCGCTCATTAGAGAGAATACGGTAAATTCATGAAAACTAAAATGTCTTTTCTTGTGCAGATAAATACATTTTGTTCTTTTATTAAACATATTGTAGATGGCAAATGGTTTTATTATCAAACTCTTAAAGGTTAGTTGAAAGTTGAATTCAATGTGTCTCATTTGTAATCCTCCATGACAATTCAAATGGTTTCACTTTCAAAATGCCTCTATAGTTTTCAACTGTCCCATATGTGGCATCTTAAAAGCTCACCTCATTTCAAAAATGGTGGCCATTTTATTAGCCAAAAATGGGGCTTTCGGCATTTTTATTGTGTGATCTCCATACCCTTGGAACTCTTATTTTAATAATTTTTTCAAGTCTTATGTGTGTCATGTATTACTCTAAACATTATAGTCACATGGTACTGGAGTGTGATGGAGATGAAACACGTAGATATACTGGATAAAATAATCAAAATTATCTTGTATAAATCAACTTAATTGTGGCACTTTCATTGGCTCTAATCATCATACTTAATACAAATGTCTTCTAGGTGGATAATAATAGGTATTTAATATAGCATAAAATATCTTATCTGTCTGCAAGTAGGGGCAATAGATACAGAGAAATTATAAGACATGGTGTCAAATTTTCAGCAGTGGAGAAAGACTGAAGTTGATTTTGTGGAATACTGCAAGATAATCTTACGAACTGTGGGTGTAAACCACAAATTGGCTTTGTTTTCCACAACTTTTCATAGTTCCACAGTCACACAATCCCTAATTGTCTATGAAGTTCATAAGATTATACTGTACTTCTACTTAACTTGCCGGCCATTTTAATTAAGGGGATCCGCCAAATTGTCCAACTCCGCCAAATTAAGTAGCCGCCAAATGCTCAAAACGGCAAATCCGGCAAAATAAGTTGTGCCAGATTAAGTTGAAGTACAGTTTATAAAATGAGAGATGTACTTTCATACTTGCATCATACAAACTACAAAAACATAAAATTGAATGTTTTCTTTCATTCATCTGAGAAAAGAATACATTGTATTAACGAATTGATAATTGAAAGTACCATCGAACAAACACTTGCTAGCAGGATATAACCTGCAATAAAATTGCAATCAATATAAAGAATCACCCTGAAGTAGTTCTTAATTTATAGACTGAATAGCAGCTTCTATTTCCACTGAAATATTTAAAGCTTTTTGTCAAGGTGCACTTTGAGGAAGAAGGGCAGACTAGACTAAGCTTCAATGTGATTTGAATGACACAAAATCATGCATCATTGCCATGGCAGGCACTAAGTTATTCACCCAGCGTTAGAAGTGAAGCTCTCTGTCAGTCAGCCAGTCAGTCTGTCTGTCTGTGTCATTTGCAAATAATCAATACAGTACCAGTGAACCTTTTCTTTCAGTTGGTAAAACAATTTGACTTGCAATGCTGTCTTTTAAAATGGTCACCACTTCAAATGACCTCTAAAATTTTGATCTGTGTTAATTTTGAGATCCTCTGAGTTCTTTTGTGATATTCAAAATCTGCCCATGAACATATTGGTGGCTATTTGTTATCTTCAATGACAATTTAAATGGTTTAACAGATGGTTCCACATGCTTTTCAGGGTGTGGATGAACTGGGCAAATGCCACGACAACCAACACTCCAATGTACAACAAGAGCTTAAGAAAGAAATGGCACTACTTCAGAAGAAAATTCTCATGGATACGGTAAGTCGATCTTATTTCATGTTGTGAGTCATAGTGTAATTATGTCATCACCAAAAAGTGGTGACATATCAGTGCGCGAAATAGACGTCCGACATCGGCCATTGGCCTGACAAAATTATAGATGGCTTGTTTTGATAAAAACACCCAGACATTTTGGCCTGCCAGACATTTGTGGCATTCGTTAGATTGCCCATGAATAGAACCCACATTTCAGTCCGGAAATCCTCCGAATTCCCCGCGATTTCGGCTTATTCCATGACTTTTGTTGAAGATTTAAAAAAATTTCAAATATTTTTGTTTTCATACTGAAGCCCAAGATATAACGTGACTTTTGATTGGCTGTTGTTGTTTGTTGAAATTACGGTGATTTTGATTGGCTATGGATGACTCATTTCTTCATCGTCGTTCGCAAATCGAGTGCATTATCAGTATGCCGGATGTAGAAAAGAAATTGAAAAATCGAGCCGGCATCTAAGTCCAAAAAGTCGGCAGTTTGGAAGTATTTTGGGACTCCGATATCACAAGGTAAACGAATTGGTGATAGTTCACCATGCAGACTATGTGAAATGCCGATCACATTCACGGCAGATGCTTTATATTCGATTTTAATCGACGTATTTCTGAATATGATTTTGAAAAGTGAAACTGAAAGTGAAACTGTCATCATCAGACATTGTATCATTTTTAATGTTCTGTCCCGTCCTGTCTCGAAAGTATCGTGTCCCGAGACCATTTGTACCGTTCCGTACCGTAACGAAATTTATTTGGACCGTGACACCTCTAATATATACCTCGAATTTTAGTCTGTTAGTGGAGTCTGTGTACATAGTATGTGTTTTTGAATACCTTGAAGCTTCTGAGAGCAATTCTAAACCGACCAAAATCAGTACAATTTAGTTTGATCAATATGTACATGTTCCTCATGTTTTTGTAAGGTGAATCTAGGGGGGAATCAACACACCCAGGCTGTTGGTTAAGTCATCAAGTAGTGAATGATACATGACATGCAATGGAATTAGTTTTACTTTGTTAATATTGTACTAAACTAAATCTCATTTTAGAGTGGTTGTGGAGAAATATGGAAAATGAAATTTTTGGCCAGAGAAGTAAGAAATAGGCTGCAAAAAATTGGCCTGAGAAAAAATGATATGGCTGGTTAAAATCTGGCTGGCCTGCCAAAATGTCTAGGTTAAAAAAATCCTTATTTCACGCACTGCATATTGTTATGGTCTCCGTTTTTTGTGAAGGCGGTTGGTGGTTGGCGTCTGTAACAAATTCTTAACTTGCAATAACTTAACAAATACTGTTTACACTGACTTCACCTTTTCAAGGTCAAAAAAAGGTTTACGATTGGCGGGTGGCGTTTTTAACAAATTCTTACAACTTCCAATAACATGACAAATACTGTTTCGACTGACTACATTTTTTTTAAAAATCATCTATAAGTTTTCAGAAGTTCAAAGCTGATTTAAGATTTGACCTTCAATGAGCTTTAGAAGGTCAAAAAGGTCTTTTTTCAACTTGCTTCAAATTGATAAAAAAAAAATTCAAAATCATCTATGAGTTGACCTTCAATGACCTTCTCAAGTTAAAAAGGTCAAAAAGTTCTACAGATTAAAAAAGGTCAAAATGGTCTTTTTTCAACTTGCTTCAAATTAATTAAATTCTTTCTTCAAAATCATATACGAGTTCTTAGAAGTTCAAATCTGACTATAGATTTGAGATTTGACCTTCCCAAGGTCAAAAAAGGTCAAAAAGGTATTTTTCAACTTGCGAGAAATTGGCTTAATCTTTTTTTCAAAATCATCTACAAGTTCTCAGAAATTCAAATCTGACTTTAGATTTGAGACTTGACCTTGCAAAAAGGTCAAAAAGGTAATTTTCAACTTGCTTCAAATTGATTAAATTTTCTAGGCTCTAGGCTGTGGTGACATTTTGTCATGTTAATGCCTTGTATTATTAGTATTACTAAAAAGTAATTACACATATGAATAATAGTTAATAACATGTGCATGTCATGAATCTCTTCTTATATATCAGATTCAGCTATTTTTTACTCCCTAAAGATCCATTCATCTTTATTCTTTAACCCATCTGCAGTCAATATGCGTCATAACCTGCACATAATTTGGGTAGCTCTATCATACAGCATTTCAGGTGACACCTTGAGAACCTTTACCTAATTATTTAAATTAGAATTAAAATTCTGGTGAAATAGAGAATCTTCAAAAAGTTATCATTGATTTGATAGGCTCAAAAATTTCAAAGCTTTGGGTGGTAAATTCAAAAGTTTAAAAGTGTTATATTATTTGCTATTTTATAGTTTGTAGGTGATAAATTCAAAATTTTTTAAGTTTTTAGTTTAATTTAAACAACCCAAGTTGTCCTCAAAGAAGCTGAGATGCAGATTTCTTACATTTTCAGACTCAAGTTAGATTTTGATTGTGAGTGCGAGAACCATAAAATAATCATAACTATAACATTTAAGTATGGCATTGTTTGACAAATAAGATGAGAACATCATTATTAAAACACACAGAGGATATTATCAGATTTTATTATTAAAAACTTCACTTTGGCCAACAGTTTTTCACTCAATTATTTCAATTTTCTATTCAACAAGTTCACCGGCAATAACATTTTTTCTAATTCTTTATGATGTAACATCGCTATATTTCAGCACGTGCATTTAATTGTCCAGTTTGTCCTCTTGGGATTACACCCCCCTACATAAGTTTGGTACAAGTTTGTCCTCTTGGGATTACACCCCCCTACATAAGTTTGGTACAAGTTTGTCCTCTTGGGATTACACTCCCCTACATAAGTTTGGTACAAGTTTGTCCTCTTGGGATTACACCCCCCTACATAAGTTTGGTACAAGTTTGTCCTCTTGGGATTACACCCCCCTACATAAGTTTGGTACAAGTTTGTCCTCTTGGGATTACACCCCCCTACATAAGTTTGGTACAAGTTTGTCCTCTTGGGATTACACCCCCCTACATAAGTTTGGTAACAGGTCCCCTTTTGGATCACTTATATCAAAGCCTGTTTGTATTTAATAATTTAAAATTAATCAAATTTGTTAAGAATTTCAAAACAATTGTTATTAAAAGGCAGAATCAGATCTACATAAGTAAACCTCACAATCCATTCCTTACTAATATTTGTTAAGTTTACTTGATAGATCTGATTCTCCCTCTAAGGAACAATATTGACAGGTTTTGATGAAAATTTTTAGATTACACCCCCCTACATAAGTTTGGTAACAGGTCCCCTTATACATTAACAATATTGATATTCAAACATTGACCAGCGTTGATGTACTAATTCAATGAAAACTTTAGTTGCCAGGGAGGGGAGTGTAGCTTATCAAAAAGTCTCAAACATGTAATTATTATTTCTTACAGCAACAACAGGAGATGGCAAATGTAAGGAAGTCACTTCACTCAATGCTGTTCTGATATTTTTACTTACTCCCCCTGAAAGAGGACAAACCACTTCATCCAATGCTATTCTGATCTCTTTACATTCCCCCTGAAAGAGGAGATTTGTGCAGATCTGTCTTTGCTGAGTAAAGGACTGAACAATGCGTTAGTTAGGACTACAGAACTGTGCTTTAAGATATGTTTAAGATACCACCGTCGCCATAGGTTTGAACACTAAAATCAATAAAGTAAGGGCAGATTCAGTGCACGTAAAATGAACCAACAGGAGGCACCAAACAATTAGATCCCAGGGAGATGTCAGCAGTTACATGTATACCTGTATACCGACCCAATTTTTAACTAGATCAAATGACTTCAATTTTCTTTTGATATTACTTAGCTTAGTAACTTAAATATTACACGTTTACAAAAGCGAAAGCCTTTGATGTCACTTTGAAGTATAACAAGTGACATCGAGGTGTTCATCACTCATTGTTATCTAAGAGTGGATGTTATAAGACACAAGTGCCACATTGACACTTTCATTATCAAAGAGATGATTCTTTCCTCGACAAAGATTTTATTTCTAAGCGAAGTAATTATTAAAAAGACAGGCATGATATCAGATTTATTATCCCATCGAACAAAGTTCGGAGGGATATAGGGAACGCCTCCGTCCGTCCGTCCGTACGTCCGTCCGTCCGGGCAATAACTCAAATACCTTTGGCCCGATTTTGTTCATATTTTGTACACATATACCCTATGAGGGTAGAAGTTCTGCTCGAAAGCCAATTTTCAAAATGGCCGCTCATTTAAAAATGGCGGCCATTTTAGTGCCGATTTTACAGTAATTTAGGTGCAATATGTAAAACTGTAATAGCAATATGTTTTAAATGTAAAAAAATAATATAGGACATTGATAAAGCTAGAAATGAAGATATTAAAGACGCACATGGCAGCCATCTTGAAAAATGGCGGTCTTTACTCGTTATTTTACGATTTTTGCTGTAACTCAAGAAGTAGTGGAGCGATTTTGTTCAGATTTGGTATGTGAATACTATAAGCATGGCTCACTGTCTAATGACATTTTTGGTAGGAGGCGGCCATTTTGAAAAATGGCCACCATTTTGAAAAATGGCCGCCATTTAACATATTTTACAATAACTCAAAAAGTTGTGGAGCGATTTTGTTCATATTTGGTATGTAAATAATATAAGCATGGCACACCGTCTAATGACACTTTTGGTAGAAGGTGGCCATTTTGAAAAATGGCCGCCATTTAAACGTATTTTACTCTGCCTTTACTCGTTATTTTACGATTTTTGCTGTAACTTGAAAAGTAGTTGAGCGATTTTGTTCATATTTGGTATGTGAATACTATAAGCATGGCACACTGTCCAATGACACTATTGGTATAAGGCGGCCATTATGAAAATTGGCCACCATTTTAAAGTATTTTTCTATAACTCGAAAAGTGGTGGAGCGATTTTGTTCATATTTGGTATGTGAATACTATTAAAAAAAAGCATATTACTTCTTCTGATGACAACTTGGCTAGTGAGCAACCATTTTGAAAATTGTGGCCTTTCTTATGTGTGTTATTTTATGATATTTGCTATATATTTCGTTTGTAAAAATGCCAGCCATTTCTGTTCGATGGGATTCGCTACGCTTTGGCGTTGCCGTTGTTCTGGTTTGAGTATTGAGATAGATGCAAAACATAACTCATTGATGTATGTAAGACAAGCATGGCTCCGACATCAATTACAATTGTGTATTCGATTTGGTTATTATTTATGATGTTACTATGACATTCTGCTGCAAAACTGAATAAAACGATTGAATGTCTTGAAGTCTGAGGCAGCTTATTGCCTGATACTTATAGATCTTATTGTATACCTGTAGAATTTCTGTAAGTGGTCCATGCCTGTTATACACAAGGATATATGAACACATGTTATTGTACAGATTGAGTTCATGTCATTGTACAGACTGGTAATATATTATTGTACACAAATTATTGTAGACTGGGCACATATAACATTATAAGTGTTAAGACTGGCCATATATTATTGTACAGATTGAGTTCATGTCATTGTACAGACTGGTAATATATTATTGTACACAAATTATTGTAGACTGGGCACATATAACATTATAAGTGTTAAGACTGGCCATATGTTATTGTACAGATTGAGTTCATGTCATTGTACAGACTGGTAATATATTATTGTACTCAAATTATTGTAGACTGGGCACATATACTTGATAAGACTGGGCATATGTTGTTCTAGGTTCGCGTTATAGATTAGGCACATGTTATTTTAAAGATTGGGTACATGTTATTGTATATACTGGACACTTGTTATTGTACAGATTGGAGACATGTGATCGTACAGACTGGACACATGTAATTGTACAGAAAGGACACATATTTTTGTTCAACTTCAACTTATTATGATCTATTCAACCTAAATATACCTTGATACAGCCCTTCTTTCCTAATCCAAACTGCATTGGTGCATTGGAGTGTACGAGGGTTGTCCCAGAAGTAATGCACTATATGCTCTAACTTTCTTTAATATTCATCAATTCAGCTGAAATTTTGTGTATATAACAATTGAAGTTTTATCTATTATATCCTGAAGTTTCAGCATCCGACATTAATATTAATTCTTAATATGGTTGCTATAACAACATGGGGGTAGGGGTGGGCGGGGCAGGTACCAATTTTTCTAATTATGAAAAGATCTAAAGTGTTATTTTATTAATATTTTTTTCTCCTTCAAATGGTCAAAATGTTTGGGATATTGTTAAATTTATTCAGCATGATGTTAACCAAGTATGAATAATGACATTTAGCACTGTGATGTCATAATACCACATTTCAATAGTCACGATTTCAAATACAGTCACAGTCAAGAAATTGCAAAACTGGCTGCAATTCTTTCCTGATAACAGAAGGCCTTGCGTTTGGTGGCCTAATTTCATACTTCACTTGGACTCACAGCCAGGCAAAACTGATGCTACCATGAAGAAAGTACAAAAGGAGTATATACCAGATAGAAATACAATTATAGGGTGGCAGAAGAGATTTAAAAGAGACGATTTGACCCTGTATGACAACTCCAAACATGGGAGGCAAAAACTCCACAAGTCACAGTGGAAGAAATTGCCGAGAGTGTTTGACCTGACAGGCATCAAAAGTACATAACATTCAAAGGGCAATATTTTAAGAAAATGTGAAATGCGACACTGTGCAATATACATCCATTAAATCTAGGATGTGCTCATAGTAATTTAGTATCTTAAAATGTATTTTTGAGCATACTTCTTATAGCTACACCAAATGGTATTTGTTGATTAATTATTTCATATTTTCAATTTTTCATTCCTTTTGACGTGACTGTATAACCTGCCCCGCCCTACCCAAACTCACCAACTTGATTTTATTATAACATCTATATAGTTTTATCAGTCAACATGAACTTTTTTAGAATAATCAAAATGTCTCTAAGGAACACTTACTGAAATTTTCATGGAAAAATATCAATTATTGATAAAGTTAGAGCATATAGTGCATTACTTTTGGGACAACTCTCGTATGTGTAGAGTTATTCTCGGTATTTTTAACTTTTATGATGGTCCCACCTTACCTATCATAATTCCCATTTTTTATTCACATGGATTACTTTATGGAATAAATCACCACGTTTCAGGAGGAGGCGATTATAGTAAGAAGACTTATTATTGTAGAGCATTATGAGGGAATTATTATTTTTAGAATCTGTGCATTAGAGTAGCCAATTTTATTAATTAAAGCAGTTTGTGCTATAATTGAATCCATAAACCTTGGGTAATTATAGACCTTTAAGTTGACCTGTATTTAAAACCATTACGCAAGTTCTGTAAGAAATTAGATTTATTCCCATGGCAAGAAATTCTGAATAATTTATTTTGTATTAGTAATAACTATACTTATACACTGTAGTTGTTATTTCCATAGATCGTTATGGTTATCGTACATTAATGTAAGTACTGGATTTTTAATTATTTTATTGAGTCGAGTTCAATGATCACACTTGCTTAACTATCCAGAAAAAATTCTTGGTATTTATTACCAGAGAGGACATTGGAAGAATTGATACCCTTCGTCTTTATAGTAATTGATAATAACCAGACTGCATGCAGGGTAAAGAATCGACTCTATTTACAATTATTACAAAGGCCATGATTCATTTCTATTTGGTGTTAATAACCTGTAAATAGATTTTGATTTGCTGGTTTGCCACTTTCAGAACATTTATGGTGTTTTCATTTGGCAGCACAATGACAAATTACAGATCTTTTACTGATATTGCAAATCAGAGAGTTAAAATGGGTGTTAAATGAAAATAAAGTAGTACCCCTAATTCTAGTTAATTGATATATTAAATCTTTATATTCTATTATTGTTTACTGGAATCTTATATCAGAAAGGTCACGCTGTTTTTGTTTTTTTTAAAGTATGTTCCTTCTCCTTGCGGGTGAAGGCCCCCATTAGTGGAGATTTATATATTCATATTGCAATTATGCAATTATTAAATTTGACACTCTAAATCAATATTTATATTAAAGTCAACAAGGAAATGGTGGCTCAACTTGTACATCCCCAATTCACACTCTGAAATCATGGTACCGTATGGTACATTTAGAGTATTGGACATGTACTGTGCGCTACATTAAGGGTATTGTTCTGTACGGTATATTAACAATATTGTACTGTATGGTACACTGGCCATACAGCATTCATGGTACTGATATAGTCTAAGGTACCAAACAGTACCAAATTTTATGGTACTGTATGGTACTATTACCAAAATGATATGGTGAAAAAGTGCATGTATTAGATAGAATTTTGGGCCGGGGGGGTGAGTGATTACCCCATCCCCCATCTAGTTACAGGCCTTAAGGCTATGATAAATCAGATAAGACTGTCCCCAATGTATGACTTGACTAAAAGGATAGTTAGGTTTCACTACTTAAAGTAGTAATGGAGAATTCATTGGTCATTGAACTATATTTCGATATACACTCCCCTCCATAAGTTTGGCAATAGTCCGGCCACATAAAAATATTCATCAAATGAACAATTTTGTGGATTTCAACAATTTTTCTGATCAAATCATATAGCTCCATTGTTATTTTCGGAATTAAAGAAACTAAATGAAAACTTCACATTGCCAAACTTATGGATGGGAGTGTATATTTCCATATAAATTGCCATCTAATGAATGTGAGAATTAGTTGTGATACGTTTTTCAGTGAGAGTGATAAATATCAATTTATTAAATCACTACTTATTTGAAAGATAGTACATCAAATATGTTATTTCTCACTGAAAGTGTTGTTTTGCAATTATAGATAAGAAATAAAAGTCAGTTGTTCGAGTTGATTTGTTCGACACTTT